CTTTAGCAACATGTTACACTCGTATTTAGGCATGTGGCTAAGCACTCCAACCCTTACCTCCCGAGCCCCCTTCCCGCTGTCACTTTTAAAATTGGCACAGCAGTGCAGGTCTCCAACTGCAAAGCCACATCATTTGTTCACAAAGATCTGTGAATGAATAAACTACAAGACCCACCTGTCACTTCAGCAGACAGACATGTAGTTCATACTCATAGTCATTGACACTTCCTACAGCTCGTTAAAATGAAAGCCTGTACCTCTGCGAGTAGCAGGCCGTGTCTGTGTCTATAGATGCACACAGCCAGGCTAGGGGGTGAAGCCTGCATGGCTGCTTGCTATGGGGGCAAACGGAGAAGAGGAGGAGCCAGGAGTGCTAGCAGGGGAATGCAAAAAAAGAAGAGGATTAGGCACGCTCTGTGTAATACCATTGCACAGGGCAGGTAAGTATAACATGTTTATGATTTTGAGTGGGAAAAAAAATGACTTTAGAAGTTCTTTAAGAAGATGAACCTTTCGCTGAATAAAGCTAATGTAACAGTGTATTAGGCTGCATTGTACAGTGATACATCTCTGTATAGATGTGGGTCACTTCACTTGTACAGTTGTGAACATTATAAATTGTTATTTCACAGAATAAAATGGTTGCAATGTTTTACATTTTAGGTCCAGCAGTGCTTTAAGACATAGTAGACGCAGAAGTAGGGTATCGGTGTGATAACGTCTATAGATGTCTCTCTGCTATCTGCCAGCGAATTCTCATGTATGCAGTACAGATCGGAAGGTGCTAGATTAGGCGGATGGCACTCTGTGACATTTGGCAGTGGCCGACGGCATTCTATCACTGAGAGCCTCTTAATATTCCAGTCTTTAACACAAACAGCAAAACAATACATTGCAGACAGTCCATGCAGCAGTGGGAGTGTTACTTGTATTCGTGGTTTTCCTGGCTGCTCCGTGTTATGTGCCAGAAAGTTGTGCGTGTAACATTACAGCAACTCGCACACAGTGGTAATGTCAGCAGAGGTCGGCTGGTCATTAGACCGGGGGCACAGAGAATGGACCTGTCTTCACAAGGCAGAATAATTGGTCCGCTGAGACAACGTGATGTGTGGTCGATCCTCCACAACAAACAAGTGAAGTACATTGTACTCATGTACTGGAAACGCCGAGTCGTATTGTCTCTTGGTCCACGATGGTCAAGGCTCATACACGAAACGTGTTGTGAGGTTTATGTGCCGTTCTTCAGCTCCCATTCCTGAAAATAAACACGACATCTATATATGATCACACAGCTAGGTGTGGCATGTTCATTGGCCATTGAATACCAGAAAAAAAATGACTGTAATGAAGTCCACATAAGATACAATCCAAATGGATTTCAGTTCAGTTTACCTAATATTGCCCATACACGGTTAGAATTTTGGCCAATTCTTTTCAAATTAGCAGGTCTACCCATTTTAAGAATTTCAGCTAGCTCGACAAAAGTGAATAACTCAAACGGCCTCTACTGAAGGAGCAAGGTCAATGAGTCAAAAATTAACAGCCGAACAAGGTCTACAGCCAATCAGCTGCAGGCATGTTTCAGGTATTCTGACAGCCGTTGCTCAACGTAGGAGGATACGGTCATCTATGCTGTTGGTGTGGATAGAGGAATCTGTTAGATTTCTTTCATTCAGCTCACAGGCTCTTGGAGCGATTGCCTGCGATGATTGGACCTGGAAACAGAGGGTACAGCTGTGCATGGTAGCCAATCAGGTTCTGACATTGACTTGTTCAATGAAGCCTTGAAAATAAAAGATGGAAACTGACTGGTTCCATGCAGAGCTGCACCAGACTTTGAACGCTCCAGTTTTAGTAATTCCCCTTCAGACTGTGTGCGCCCAGGGCTGATCATCGCAGGTAATCACTCCATGAGCGATTAGGAGTGAGCAGTTCCGGGAGCTGTCAGCCTAACATTGCTTTCATGGAAATGTTCCCTGCAGCTAATCGTCCGGAACCCCTGATGGCTCTCCTACATGTAACCAGTAATGGCCCCACATTCGCAAGTGTTAATGGGGCCTTAATGTATGCCCAAATGAACTCTGGGCTGGGCAAAAAAAAATTAAATCCCCCCCAAGCTTATGCAGAATATAATGCTCCTTTTTCTAGGGGATCTCATAAAACAAATCAATACTTTAATCCCTGGTCCTGCAGTCTGCCTGCGCACGGATTTCACTTGTAGCGACCAGTTCCCTGAAATCACTTAATCTTACCAATGATTGGTATTGTTGCTTCCCCTCTCACTGGTGTAATCAAATACAATGTAGGATCAGCAGCCACAGCTAGTCCAGCACTGTGCTCACCCACACTGGAGAGAAGAGGACTGGCCACCCCTAGTCCTGCACTGTGCTCACCCACACTGGAGAGAAGAGGACCGGACACCCCTAGTCCTGCATTGTGCTCACCCACACTGGAGAGAAGAGGACCGGCCACCCCTACTCCTGCATTGTGCTCACCCACACTGGAGAGGTGGACCTAATCCTGCACCCCTAGTCCTGCACTGTGCTCACCCACACTGAAGAGAAGAGGACTGGCCACCCCTACTCCTGCGCTGTGCTCACCCACACTGGAAAGAAGAGGAACGGGCACCCCTAGTCCTGCACTGTGCTCACCCACACTGGAGAGAAGAGGACTGGCCACTCCTAGTGCTGTGCTCACCCACACTAAAAAGAAGAGGAGCGGTCACCCCTAGTCCTGCACTGTGCTCACCCGCACTGGAGAGAAGAGGACCAGTTAAGCTGGCTGTCACAAGACCATGGATAAAGGTAAATAATGCTCTGCCTTATCTAATCCCCTAGAAAAAAAAGCATTTTGTTCCTTGTTAGATGAGGTGGGAGGCTAATTGTGGGGGTTCCTCTCCCCCACAACATCTGTCGCACTTAAAATCAGCGTGGTTACGCAGGGTTCCATCCACACAGCCACGTCATTCAGTCACCAAGATCTGTAAATGAACAAACTACAAGTCCCATCTACCAGCATGTCAGATGGACTTGTACTTTCAGTGAACTACGAGTGTGGTAATCAGCGCACTTCTAGTCCATTGATGCTTCCTTCAGCTTTCTAACTGAAGGGCTCGTACAGAGATATAGGCAGAAGGCTGACATTGCACTGGCAATCCACTCATTACAAGCACATTGCTTTACAGGTTCTTGGAGGAAAAAATAATCATTGCACAGTTTTTTCTTGCACAAATATGTATATTTATTATTTTCCTATAAGTGTGAACTTAGCCTTTACATTCTGTCACTAAAAACAGGACTGGACCAACTTCATCGTATTCATCAGACAGCCACCTCTATGACTCCTAGGCCTCGTGCACATGGTGCTGATGTTTGAGCATCTGCTTTTTTAAATGTAATTTCCGGCACTTGTTTTGCACGTGTTCATGCGTATTTAGGTGCATATTTGCATGCATTTGTGCGCATAATATATTCTTAGGGAAAATTCATTAATATTAGACTCATATGTGCATATTTGCGTGCACTCTCACGCAGGCGGCGTAAATTAGTGACCAAAAATTTGCTGTATTTTTCGCTCCATAAATCACACTTTTTTCCCCCCAAAAAAAGGGGGGGAAACTGTCAGTGCAACTTATGAAGCGAATATGGATTGGCCGGTCCGGTATTCCCACCGACATGTCAGAATACCGGGACAGCCGCTCGTCTCTTCTCTGCAGCAGAACCTTACCTGTTTCTCGGTCCAGTGCTGTACAATCTTCCGCCGGCATCTTTAGTGTGGGCACTCGGCTGTGACAGCCGGGTGCCCACAGTGCATGCTCAAGAAGCGCTGCGCTTTGTGAATGGTACGGCGTTTTCTGGGACACGACAGATCCCAGAAGATGTGGGACCATTTACAAAGCACAGCGCTTCTCGCGCATGCGCAGTGGGCACCCGGCTGTCAGCCAGGTGCCCACACTAAAGGGAGGATAATTCCGCAGAAGTGAGAACCTGTCAAATTCAGGTACCCGCTCCCCCTCCCTCCCCAAAGGTCCGCAGTCTCTTAGTCATCCCCTGTACTGTCCCGCAGTCTCTGGTCATCTCCTGTACCGTCCCGCAGTCTCTGATCATCCCCTGTACTGTCCCGCAGTCTCTGGTCATCTCCTGTACTGTCCCGCAGTCTCTGGTCATCTCCTGTACTGTCCCGCAGTCTCTGGTCATCCCCTGTACTGTCCGCAGTCTCTGGTCATCTCCTGTACTGTCCCGCAGTCTCTGGTCATCTCCTGTACTGTCCGCAGTCTCTTAGTCATCCCCTGTACTGTCCGCAGTCTCTGGTCATCCCCTGTACTGTCCCGCAGTCTCTGGTAGTCATCCCCTGTACTGTCCCGCAGTCTCTGGTCATCCCCTGTACTGTCCCGCAGTCTCTGGTCATCCCCTGTGCTGTCCGCAGTCTCTGGTCATCCCCTGTACTGTCCCGCAGTCTCTGGTCATCCCCTGTACTGTCCCGCAGTCTCTGGTCATCCCCTGTACTGTCCCGCAGTCTCTGGTCATCTCCTGTACTGTCCCGCAGTCTCTGGTCATCCCCTGTACTGTCCCGCAGTCTCTGGTCATCTCCTGTACTGTCCGCAGTCTCTGGTCATCCCCTGTACTGTCCGCAGTCTCTGGTCATCTCCTGTACTGTCCCGCAGTCTCTGGTCATCTCCTGTACTGTCCGCAGTCTCTTAGTCATCCCCTGTACTGTCCGCAGTCTCTGGTCATCCCCTGTACTGTCCGCAGTCTCTTAGTCATCCCCTGTACTGTCCGCAGTCTCTGGTCATTCCCTGTACTGTCCCGCAGTCTCTGGTCATCCCCCTGTGCTGTCCCGCAGTCTCTGGTCATCCCCTGTACTGTGTCCGCAGTCTCTGGTCATCCCCTGTACTGTCCCGCAGTATCTGGTCATCTCCTGTACTATGTGCGCAGTCTGGTCATCCCCTGTACGCAGTCTCTGGTCATCTCCTGTACTATGTGCGCAGTCTCTGGTCATCTCCTGTACTGTGTGCGCAGTCTCTGGTCATCTCCTGTACTGTGTCCGCAGTCTCTGGTCATCTCCTGTACTGTGTCCGCAGTCTCTGGTCATCTCCTGTACTGTGTCCGCAGGCTCTGGTCATCTCCTGTACTGTGTCCGCAGGCTCTGGCCATCTCCTGTACTGTGTCCGCAGTCTCTGGCCATCTCCTGTACTATGTCCGCAGTCTCTGGTCATCTCCTGTACTGTGTCCGCAGTCTCTGGCCATCTCCTGTACTATGTGCGCAGTTTCTGGTCATCTCCTGTACTATGTCCGTAGTCTCTGGTCATCTCCTGTACTGTGTCCGCAGTCTCTGGCCATCTCCTGTACTTGTCTGCAGTCTCTGGCCATCTCCTGTACTGTGTCTGCAGTCTCTGGCCATCTCCTGTACTATGTCCGCAGTTTCTGGTCATCTCCTGTACTATGTGCGCAGTCTGGTCTCTGGTCATCTCCTGTACTATGTGCGCAGTCTCTGGCCATCTCCTGTACTTTGTCTGCAGTCTCTGGCCATCTCCTGTACTATGTCCGCAGTTTCTGGTCAGCCCCTGTACTGTGTACGCAGTCTCTGATCATCTCCTGTACTATGTCCGCAGTCTCTGGCCATCTCCTGTATTGTGTCCGCAGTCTCTGGTCATCTCCTGTACTGTGTCCGCAGTCTCTGGCCATCTCCTGTACTATGTCCGCAGTCTCTGGTCATCTCCTGTACTATGTGCGCAGTCTCTGGTCATCTCCTGTACCATGTCCGCAGTCTCGGGTCATCTCTTGTACTATGTCCGCAGTCTCTGGTCCATCTCCTGTACTATGTCCGCAGTCTCTGGTCATCTCCTGTACTATGTACGCAGTCTCTGGTCATCTCCTGTACTATGTCCGCAGTCTCTGGTCATCTCCTGTACTATGTCCGCAGTCTCTGGTCATCTCCTGTACTGTGTACGCAGTCTCTGGTCATCTCCTGTAGTATGTCTGCAGTCTCTGGTCATCTCCTGTACTATGTCTGCAGTCCATTGGTTCAGAATATTTTTTTTCTTGTTTTCCTCCTCTAAAACCTAGGTGCATCTTATGGAGCGAAAAATACGGTAGATTTTCCTATTTCTTTCTTATTGAGGAATATGTGGTGCTTATTTACGCGCCTTTGTGCAAAGGCACATTGTAAATAATGGGCTACATTTTACTGTACTGAGCTTTTTCAAGCTGCAGTGTGCAAGAGGCTTAATAGTAAGAGCAGAATCTACATCGACCTACAATCATAGTACAGGGCTGGATTATGTGGTACATATTGCAATTTCTAGTATTCCCTGTACAATAATTCTCTACATTTATAGAGTCAATGACACTAAATTGCAAAAATGTAAATCAGACATTAGTCTGCAATAGAAATGTTTGTGCCAGGCTGACAACACAGAACAGCAATTGGGAAACTGACAAAGAGTAGTCACTCCATAACAGGAAGTGCCTGTACAATGACTTTCATGGCAGGATTACTAGATATAATCTTATGAGAGCTGCAAATTGAAAAAAAAAAAAAAAAAAAAACCTAAAATGATTTTAACAAGTGAATGACTATACATACTTTAAATCACTCCTTTTACTTAACCCAATGGGATTTTTGGTCACAAAATACTACTCTCACCTTTGCTTTCCTTAGAACGTGTCCTCGTACTGGGGAGTTATTTGATGCAGGCTGCCGTTTTAATGCTGAGGCACTATTTACTGGTATGGAGCATTCGGCATCACTTGTGTCACAGCTGGAGATTGGAGAGTTCTCCACTGTTCTGTGCCGGAAGCTTGGAGACTAAAGAAAAAAATAAGTTGGTTCATTTTTAATAATACTTTTAGTCAAGGAAATGGTATTCATGATAAAACAGCCTTCTTTGTAATGAAACTTGTCCATGCAGTGGCCATACCTGTGGCCTTGAGGTTTCATTTTTGGGTTCAATAGCAAGACCCAGTGTGATCCCACCGGCCATGGCCTTCTTCAGACTTTCCTTCACCTCAGTCAGCTCCAACTCGAGATTTACTCGCTCACCCTCTTTCAGTTTACACTCATCCTCCAGCTTCTTCAGCTTTTCCTCCAGCAAGACCTGAGATTTTCTTCCTGCAGAACACAATAATGATGCCATATTGATGGACCTTGTGTTTTATAACACTTTAATTACATTACTTCCAAATGGAAACAATATTTAGAGCAGGCCTATTGTAGACTAAGAACTGGTATAAAAAAAAGAAAGCTGTAAAGCTGTATTACACATACAGTATATTGGCTGAATAACCACCATTATTATTTAAAATGGAAAAATGTGCACCAAACTGACCACCAATGGTTGTATCTTGGACAATCTACTAGACCCCACAAATGAAGAGTTTTAAAACCCAAAAAAACAGAACTTTGAAACTTCCTCTACACAAAAAATGATCTTTCTTTCGTTCTATGGTATTGCAATCCCTTAGCACCAGCAAGTATAAAGTACAAGACCACATTCCGATGAAATCTAATGGGATGACTTTCATGGAGAGCGGGTCTTGTACTTTATCCTTGCTACACTGGCTGAGCTCTTTCTTTATCAGCACCCAGAGTGGTAGAGGACCCAAAGGCAAGTTTAGGACTTGGAGCGGTGAAATTTCCTTGTCTTTGAACTCCCACCAGGAAGAAGCAGGCTAGTTTTAGGGGAGAAATACAGACGAAATACAGACAGCTTTTTATATCACACACATTTAATATACAAGACCAATATAGAAATGCGATATTACTACCATACACAGACCAGTACACTCCACCCTGAGTATATGCCTAGGTATAGACTGTGCTTATATAATAGCCCTCATGAGTCTGTTATGAATTTATATGTATTTGTCAATGGAAAAGTTTTACTCATTTGTATTAAAGGTGATACTTGGCCTTGTTTGATAATGACACCATATTGAACATTAAAGTGGTTGTAAAGGTTTTGTACCTTCATGCATTCTATGCATGAAGGTGAAACAAACCTTCAGTATGCAGCCCCCCAAAATACTTACGTGAGCCTGATCATGATCCAGCGATGTGCATGAGAGCGGCTGCTCTCCCAGGTCTCTGCCTCCTAATTGGCTGAGAGGCAGCAGCAGAAGACATTGACTCACACTGCTGTCAATCACAGCAGTGAGGAGGGAACAAGATGATGGGACCGTACACTGTTCTGTGTGTCTTACAGTATGGACACATAGAGCAGGGCTTGGAAGCAAGCATGCACAAGTGTCCCCAGAACAAGCAGATTGCTATGGGGGCACTTAAAAAAGAGGAGGAGCTAGAATCCCCAGCAGGGGACCAGAGAAAAGGAGGATTGGAGCTGCTCTGTGGAAAACCATTGCACAGAGCAGGTATCAGATGTTTCTTATTTAACAAAAATTAACCTTTAATATCACTTTAATGGCAATTTAGATAGAGAAAGAGATGATAAAGTCAAGCAATTAGTCTTTTGACTAGGTAGATAATACTGTATATAAACAGTTTTCTAAGTAGAGCAGACTTCAAATTTTAAAGTTCACAGAAACAGAATAGGTAAGGCAGGATGAAATCTGTATGTGCCAGTCAAATATGACATACTATTACTGCAGTACACAAAAATGCTCCCCTATACTTAGCATGTTCTTAACAAAGACAAAACCTCATGGTTAATCTAATAGCACTGTAACTATGCACAATCAACCATAGGAATTTTGTTGCAATGATGGTCTCAGAATTATTATGTAATTTGGATTTGAAACTCAAAGTTTTCATTTTGCAGAATATATTGTTATCAGCCACAATACTGTAGATAAAGTTCCATGTACATCTAGACCTCCAGTTTTGTTATGGATAACAAGGATATACATGGAAATATTGAATGAAATCAGAATTAAGAAGAGCAATATGATTTAACTTGTCAACCATAAACTAGTTTTGATGCCAATGACAGCTTTCAAAAATCACCTGCATTGGCTTCGATTGCTGCCCTCGTGTCTCGTTTTTCTTTGCGAAGCTGGGCTAGTCTGTTTCGAAGAGCCTCTTTCTTTCTCATTAGCTCCTCCTCCTTGAGCTGCAGTTTCTTAGCATCTGCCTCCACCCGATTCTTCCCATATTTATATTGTTCAGCGTCTGGATTACATAGAAAGTATACAGAGAGAAAATGGGAGTCAATGTTACAGGTTTTATTGTTTCATCAACATTGGTTTGCTCAGCCAGATCAATGAGCATTCAAAATTCAAGTTTCTGTAAAACACACACAAACACATTGCATTACTGATTAAAAATAAAACCATTTGTACATGGCAATATTGTATATACCTTGTCTCTAGCTTTCTAATTCTTTTTAATTATGTATATACCATGAAGGTTGCTGTACTTTCCCATTATCTATGCAAGCTTTGCTTGCCATGAAGAAAAGGTGGAGAAGACATAGTGGGCAGAAGATTGAGTGAATAGAGCAGGCTAAAAAAATGAAACGGGCATGTTGATAGACCAGACAGAGAAGAAGGGAGACAGAGCAAGCTCGTTGTATGGAAGGCAAAGTGGGAACAGTGGGAGAAAAAACGGACTTGATTGGATGGGCTGAAGAGGAGTAGCCATAGAGGGTGGAATTTGGAGAAGGAGTGGGAGGAAGATGAAGCAGACAGAGGTAGTGGAAGATAAAATGGGCAGACCGCGTGGAAGAGGGAATGGACAGAGTGGGTGGAAGATGGAGTGGGTAAAAGATGTTGACGGAGAGGGTGGGAAATCAATCACAATGGGTGGAAAAAAAAAACCCTTCATAAGCAGATGATGAAGCAGACAGAGTGGCCAGAAAATTGAGAGAGCAGAGTAGGTTGTTCCTCCCAAGAGTTCCTGCTCACTAGCTCCCTAGTTACCTCCACTTCTCCCAAGTCTTTCTCATCCTATGGAACTCCCAACCGCAACCTGTCTGACTATCTCCCACTCTGTCCACTTTTAGGCGATCCCTAAAAAAGCCTTCTCTTCGGGGAAGCCTATCCTGCCTCCATCTAACAACTGTATCTCCACTTTCTCCATCAGTTCATCTCCCACAGTTATTACCTTTTGTTTCACTTGACCCTATAGATTGTAAGCTCAAATTAGCAGGGCCCTTTGACTCCTTCTGTATTGAATTGTATTGTAACTGTACTGTCTGCCTTTATGTTGTTAAAGCTCTGCACAAACTGTTGGTGCTATATAAATCCTGTATAATAATAGGTGGGAAATGAAGCATAGTACTAAGTTGGGAGGAACAGAAGGGTTGTGAAATGAAGCATAGAAGACAGAAGATGGAGAGGGATGAGGTAGTAAAGTAGAGAGTGGGAGGAAGGTGAAATGGACATGTTAGGCAGATAATGGAGTAAGCAAAAGAGGCAGAAAATAAAGTATAATGGATGGAATAGACCAAGTGTGATTAAACAAACCTCGCTCAACAGTTTTACCCCAGAAGAACCCATGTGCATCCCTGCAAGTCAGGTTCAAAAGCTATAAAGATAAGATCTACTTATGAATGGAGAAATATTGCTCAAAGATTTGCTTACTGGAGGCTGTACGTTTTACAGTAGTAGTTGGATTGGGTTTCTTTTGCTGGTTGTTGGTTACCCTGGACCTTGATAAAATTCCATTGGTAGCTGTAGGTGGTTTCTTGCTCTTTAGCTGTATGGAAGAAGCCGAATTAAACAATCAGTCATACATTTAATTGATTTCCTAAAGAGGAACCACTTTATTTAGAACCATTCTACAGAACATCATGGCTGGTGTATGCCTTTACGTATTTGACACAGGTAACCATGGTGGAACTTGTAGTAAGGGATTATAAAGGATCTCATTGTTAAACCCTGCTTCTGAAAACGGCTAGTTTTCTGACCTGGTACAAGTGGATTTGAAGTTCTGATCTCACTCTTACTTTCTACGCTGCATGCTAGTTCCAGACCAGAACCTCAGACAGTAATGAAGTCAGCCAACTACTAGCCTTATAAGGGGCAATTTCGGCTTTGATGAAGGGATCCTCCTCAGCCTTGGAAATGTGGTATTTGCATTTATGTTCTGTGGTTGAATAAAGCTGATTTTGTTTTTAGTTATGTTGAATGCTGGTGAAATTCAGATATGGTCAGGAATAGGAGAGCATAACATGATTCTTGGAAATAGCAAATTTTTCATTTCACTCCCAGGAGCAAATGGATTGGAAAGGGAGTGAAAGGAAAGAAATATATGCAGGGGGCATGGGCAAACTCTTCTCCTATGGCATTTTCTCTCTGCAGTTCAGCAATTAATACCTTCATTGTGAAAATCTCCCCAGTCACCCTTTCCCCTTAAATGGGTTCTTGTAGTTAATGATATCATGAGAATGGAAGAACTTCTAGCTCATGATCAAGATACCGTTGACAATTATTTTTCACAATGGACAATCTGAATGCTATACTCTTCTTCAGATGCCCTAAAAAATAGACTACATTGGCTATATGGGCAGCACAGTGGCTCAGTGGTTAGCACTTTCGTCTGGCAGTACTAGGGTTGTTGGTTCAAATCCCGACCACAGCACCACCTGCCTGGAGTTTGCATGTTCTCCCTGTGCCTGCGTGGGTTTCCTCCGGGTACTCCTGTTTCGTCCCACACTCCAAAAGACATGCTGGTAGGTTAACTGTATCCTGTCTAAATTGGCCCTAGTATGTATGAAATAAGTTAGGGACCTTAGATTGTACACCCCTTGAGGGTTAGGGACTGATGTGAATGTACAATATATATGTAAAGCGCTGCGTAAATTGATGGCACTATATAAGTACCTGAAATAAATAAAATATACTAGTAATTTTGGCTATAACAGCCCTCTTTACAGAACTATACTTTTATTTCATTTAACACAGGTCCCAGACCAACCCACTTTTGCTTTATTTCTCTTCCTAGTTATTTTTAAGCCTTTCTCCTCTCCTTTTCACTGGTTCATACCTTAGCCACGAGTTTTGAATTGGAAGAATGATTGTTCTCCCCATATTATTAAAAGAGTAGTGTGGACTTTTATTTCCCATTTACTGTATACTTACCTAGGTGGATGCAGCATCGATTGGCTAAAAGCAGTCACAGGAGTGCAGAATGAACTGCACCCCTGTGATCCACAGCCTTGGCTGTACTTCTCCTTTAAAAATACTTCCATACTTCCATAGAACACCATTTGTAAACAATTGACTTAGTGTTATCTGATTTATATTGCCTTACAATTACTTTTTCTAAACCTGTTGCACTCCTCACAGAAATGATTATGGATCATATGTCATTTATTCCTCCATATCTTTGTTCTTGTATTTATTGTTAGTCGCTTTCACAATTGAAACAATAAAAAAATGTATTCAACTCTAAAGTGGACCTGAATTTAATTTAATTTGCTCTGAAAATGAAAATAGCTGCAATGTGATAACTAAGATGCTAGTCTCAGGAGATTTGAAGTTAGATGTGTTAGTGTCACTACTGTTCTCCTTGCTGGAGAGGAATCTGTACCCGAGACCTGCAGTGCAATGATCTCCCTGCTTCTGCTTCATTCATTTTGTGGATATGTAATCTCTAAACTTCTCTTGCTGCTTTTATCATTTCCCTACCATTCATCAGATCACTAGTCATCATGGGGGTAGCTCTGATATGGGTAAATCCCTGCCTCTGCCAAGTTGGCTGTCCCCATGCAAAGACCTACTGCAGAACAAAGCATGCTAGTCAGTAATGGGTAAAAAATGAGTTGCAGGGATCCTGCAGGCAACACTAGTGACTAGTCCTTTGCCCTTGGCTTGTTCTGTTTGGCCACAGTTTCCAGAGTTCAGGTCATTTTTAAATAAAGATATGCAGTGCAATGTAACTGTTCTTTACAGTAAAACATATTTTTGTGGATACTACAAATGAGAGTTCATGTAAGATATTTTATAGGTTTCACAGAGCAGGAAAATATACTGTACATGAATAATGAAAGACAAAGACAAAATGAAATGATTGATTGAAAACCATCCGTTTGTGAAAAATAGGCTTAGGGGGATGTAAATATCCATCAGAGGAAATAACAAAGGCTAGATTAGAAATTGAGGGCCACAGAGTAATTAAGCGTTTAAAAATTAAGTACAGCAACCAGAAAGAGTGCTTAGAAAAGAAATATATTCTTTGAGATTATATTGATTGAGAAAAGCCAATAAATTAACCTTTTCAAAATGGAATATATGCTGTAGTTGGCTTAGTTTTCCTCAGTTACCTTGTTAGCTAAAATTAAAGCACAAACACAGTAATACAGTGGGGCAAAAAAGTATTTAGTCAGCCACCAATTGTGCAAGTTCTCCCACTTAAAAAGATGAGAGAGGCCTGTAATTGGCATCATAGGTAGACCTCAACTATGAGAGACAAAATGAGAAAGAAAATCCAGACAATCACATTGGCTGATTTGGAAAGAATTTATTTGCACATTATGGTGGAAAATAAGTATTTGGACACCTACAAACAAGCAAGATTTCTGGCTCTCACAGACCTGTACCACCTTATTTAAGAGGCTCCTCTGTCCTGCACTCATTACCTGTATCAATGGCACCTGTTTGAACTTGTTATCAGTATAAAAGACACCTGTCCACAACCTCAAACAGTCACACTCCAAACTCCACTATGGTGAAGACCAAAGAGCTGTCGAAGGACACCAGAAACAAAATTGTAGACCTGCACCAGGCTGGGAAGACTGAATCTGCAATTGGCAAGCAGCTTGGTGTGAACAAATCAACTGTGGGAGCAATAATTAGAAAATGGAAGACATACAAGACCACTGATAATCTCCCTCAATCTGCAATATCACGCAATATCTCACTCCGTGGGGTCAAAATGATCACAAGAACGGTGAGCAAAAATCCCAGGACCACACGTGGGGACCTAGTGAATGACCTGCAGAGAGCTGGGACCAACGTAACAAAGGCTACCATCAGTAACACACTACGCCGCCAGGGACTCAGATCCTGCAGTGCCAGACGTGTCCCCCTGCTTAAGCCAGTACATGTCCGGGCCCATCTGAAGTTTGCTAGAGAGCATTTGGATGATCCAGAAGAGGATTGGGAGAATGTCATATGGTCAGATGAAACCAAAATAGAACTGTTTGGTAGAAACACAACTCGTCGTGTTTGGAGGAGAGAGAATGCTGAGTTGCATCCAAAGAACACCATACCTACTGTGAAGCATGGGGTGGCAACATCATGCTTTGGGGCTGTTTCTCCGCAAAGGGACCAGGATGACTGATCCATGTACAGGACAGAATGAATGGGGCCATGTATCGTGAGATTTTGAGTGCAAACCTTCTTCCATCAGCAAGGGCATTGAAGATGAAACGTGGCTGGGTCTTCCAACATGACAATGATCCCAAACAAACCGCAACGAAGGAGTGGCTTCGTAAGAAGCATTTCAAGGTCCTGGAGTGGCCTAGCCAGTCTCCAGATCTCAACCTCATAGAAAACCTTTGGAGGGAGTTGAAAGTCCGTATTGCCCAGCGACAGCCCCAAAACATCACTGCTCTAGAGGAGATCTGCATGGAGGAATGGGCCAACATACCAGCAACAGTGTGCGCCAACCTTGTGAAGACTTACAGGAAACGTTTGACCTCTGTCATTGCCAACAAAGGATATATAACAAAGTATTGAGATGAACTTTTGATATTGACCAAATACTTATTTTCCACCATAATTTGCAAATAAATTCTTTCCAAACCAGCCAATGTGATTGTCTGGATTTGTTTCCTCATTTTGTCTCTCATAGTTGAGGTCTACCTATGATGCCAATTACAGGCCTCTCTCATCTTTTTAAGTGGGAGAACTTGCACAATTGGTGGCTGACTAAATACTTTTTTGCCCCTCTGTATATGGAGCTGTCACTTAGGCTAAATATGTTACATCTGCATTGGGGACAGGGCATGATCCCCCTTAGAGGTCCCAAAATAACTAAATACCTTGCAAAAGAACAAAATGTATCCTATTCTACCAACAACAGAAAATCCAATATGGAAGAGCTTCTTTAAATCAGAATGCCACTGAAAATCAATGTGTGTGTTTTAGATGAAGGGTTATGTGGGAACCTGTATATATGGCATGATTAACGGGTCTGATACCGATTTAGATTTGGTGAGTGAGTTTTACCTTTTATTACAGAAGCTGCTTTATGGATTTCAAGGATTTCCCATTAGTTGTAAATGGGACCCATACATGGGCAGTAGCAGTGAAGGGAGGATATCAATGGAGGAACTTCATCAAGGCTGCCCAATTAATTTTAATTAACTTTATATTCCCACTGTCTACATGACCCTATGCACAAACCTAACATTAGCAGGTTTAAAATATACCTAAAGGCAAAACTTTTTTTCTTTTTATTTAGTTTTGGATAGATTGGAGAGGGATTAGAACACCTATTAGGTTTTTATTGCTGTCTGTGTCCCCGTTAGGGAGATTCAACCTCTCAATTTGTAACTGTAATGTCTGGCTGTTGGTAACTATATGGTAACTGGTAACTGTTGGCGCTATATAAATCCTGTATATTAATAATAATATTTGTCCTGTTTACCATTATCATTGAAAGTGAGAGTTAAAAAAAACCCCCAGAACAGGAACTAAGGGAATAAAATGTTCCAGTGGGGACACTAGTTCTGATGACAACTCACTTTG